CTTCCGTTCTGACATCCAAGCTATGTTTGAAACAATATATAAAATGTTTCCCTCCTCCCATGTTCCTTACCCTGTGCCCCCAAACATGCTGCCATTTCCAACGTTTTAAATACAGTGAATCATTCCTGAGAACACCTGTGGGCCAGGAACTGTTCTAGGCCATATATTTAATCTCATTTAATCTTCGCAAGGAAGGTTGATAGCATCACCCCATTCTACAAATGAGGACACTAAAGTTTATGACCTCAAGTAACTGCCCAGAGGAGTGTGACCATAAGTTGCCAGTCTCATTTTTGCTTTTTCATACCATCTCTCTACTGTGTGATCTCCCTTTCACTACTTATCCATTCCTCAACTTGATTTCTGCCCCATCACCCCACTCACACTGTTCCCATCAAGGTCACCAAATGACCTCCCAAGTCCTATATTTAATGGACTTTGAAGGCCCTACTTTATTTGGCTTTGTTTTGTATTTTATTTTGACTTGTATTAAATTTATAATATTTTCTATTGTGTTATATATTATATTATTTTCATAAATCATATTATAGAATAATATTATAGTAGAATGTGCCAGGCTGCTCTTCCGGAGCAGAGCTGGTCACATGCTGGACAACCTCATCCCCTCTCCCAGAGGAGGTGTGTGTCCAAGCAGGTAACGGGGCCAGACTCTGGGCTCTAACCTGGGAGAGCAGAAGGGCTCCCATAACCCAAATTGAGACAGCGGCCAGGTCAGACCCCACATCCCTAGACCCATCCCTACACATCTGGTTCTAATAATAATCATGCAGGAGAGGGTCCCCTCCCTTCCTTGCAGAGGACACACCTCCCTGCAGGGACCCCTAGTGCTTCACCTCCAACTCTATCAGCAAAAGGCCTTTTGATCCTTCCCTTCCCTTTGATCTTGGCCTCTTGATCTCCTAGCTTCTAATCTTCTCTAAATCAAGCAGCAGCATATATTAACCTGGCTGTCCCACTTGGCAGAATTACTTGCTGCAGGACAGTAAGAAAATCTGTCGTCAAGACAGCTAGAAAATATGAAAGTACAATATTGGAGAGGAAAGCTGCATTCTCCAGGAGGTCTCCTGGCATAAAACAGGGAGAAACATATGATTCCTACGTGATAATTCCATGTTCATTCTCAAAACACGCCGCCAGAATGTTCTTTCACAGTTGGTATTTTGTATCCCAGAATGGATATGATTGATACCAGATTCATTTGAGTTTTAGAAAGAAAACATTACTGAGCTACGTTTAAATTATTGATTAATTAATTAATGTTTATATAGTTTATGTATTTGGCCTCATTTATAAACTACTTTTTAGTCGAAAGTCTCTTTAGCTTTCCCTGCATGAAACCCCTCTCTCCAACTTCTTTGGTCCCCTCTCAGCCTCCTTCTTTGGCTTTTCATCTTTCACTGGCCCTTTATACTTGACTGTGTTCTGCGTTGTATCTTGTGTCTTCCTGTTTTGCATTATTTCCATGAGTAAACAGCTCCATTCTCATAGCTTCAGCTCATATAGGAAATACTTCCAGTCTCCCATCTCCCTCCTATGTCCAGATTCATATCTCCAGCTTCTTTCTTGATAGCATTGCATTCTACCACCAGGCATCTCAAACTCAACATTAGATATCTCATCTCTTCTTATCCCTTCCCAAGACCTGTTATTCTTTCCTCAGTTAATGCCAACATTCATTCAATTTCCTTGGTTATAAATTTCATTCATCACTGATTTTTTTTTCCATATGTGGTCAATGAACAAATCCAGTTCATTCTACCCCACAAAGTCCCTCTTTTTATTCCCACAGTCACTGTCTTAGCTCCCGGCTTTATTGTAGGTCTTTCAGACAAATCATTCTGTTTTTATACGTGTATATTCACCTCTCTTTTAAGTCTAATACTATCCCTAGGAAAGTCAATTCTTAGCCATCTACACCAACATTCAAGACATTAACATTCAAAAACATTACTCTTTTCTTTCTGAATTTTATTTGAAAGGCTTTTGATTCAACTGCTTATATTATACAGTCTTTTTAATTTTGACTTACACTTTAAAATTTTAAACTCTTTAATGATTTTTAACGTAATGTACTTTTGCTTAAACATGCCACCTCAGCAAAAGTATTTGGAACACAAAATACACTCAACCCAATATTTATACTGACTTTGTTCAAGATAATATAGTAACCACTATAGAGAAAAAAGTGTTTAATAAAAATGGGTTTAACGTGGACCTTACCTCTGAAAACTTTACAGTCTGTTAGGTGAGATAAGGCATGAACCTAAATAGTTATAATACATGATGGAATAGGATAATTGTTATAGAAGATGTACAGAAAAAGCTACCAGAATTATATTGAGGGAGAGTTTGCTTTCACTGAAGGAACCAAAGCAGGCTTCATGAAGGAGTCAATATCTGAGCAAGGACTTCAAAGATGTGAACTTTTAAATATTTATGCTTTTCATACACCTTACTGAACCTCATGTATATGCAAGACACTCTACTAAGTGCTAGAGGTACAGAAATGTACAAGGGACAGACCTTGACTTCAAATAGTTCTCAGTCTAGTGAGGAAGAAAGATAAAATCCATCATTATAATCAGGTGAAAAGGAGTTATATTGGAGATTTTCTAAAAAGACTACAAACTACAAGGAAAATTACAAAGATATAGGAGAAAAACTAACTCGTCTTCAAAGGGAATGTCTCTAGGAAAAGGTACTGCTTGGGCTGAGCTTAGAGCATCAAGTAGCTGTGGCCACATGTAGATGGGCTGAGAAGAGAGAAGAATCACACACAGAGGAATCAAGGATCAGGGATGCAAAGGTATGACATGTATACTTTGATGACAGTTCAGGAGAGCTGAAGAATAGAAGTACCAATGTGGATAGAAAACGACATCTAGGCTAGGTTATAGAAAGGTTAAAGGTCAGACTAGGAGCTAAGTAAATTTTTTTTAGGAATAGCTTCATAAATTATTCCTGACTAACTGATAGTGATAATATATAGACAATTCTGTACATGGATTCATTTTTACCAGGTGGACCAGAAATACACTTAATTAACTGCATTTCTGATTGAAAAGCTGATGTTGTTGGCATCAGGTAATCCAATTATGGGATAATCTTTGGGCTTTTTACATTAAGCTTCGACTACTGACTGTACTAACTTCTCAGAGTGACTTCTTTAATGCTCTGGCCATTTCTGTTTAGCTTACATTTAACAGTCATCTCATTTTCACTTTTTTTTTTTTATGTTTATTTCATGATGACCTACTATTCATCACTCAAATGGATTACTACAGGAAATGGAATCCGGAACAATGGTTATTCCCAAACATTTCAGGACCCAGTTTTCCTCCATCTGCAGTAATCATAATGCTCATCCACCACTAATGAATTAGGCTGAGCTTTGCCTTTTCATTTGGAGCTTTGATAACATGAACTATAACCTACTTCTAACTGATTTTGGCAAAAAGATCCCACATGTGTGTTTTGTCTTTGGTTTTCCCTCTATATATTTGGTCACATGAAAACAAAATAAATGACCAACTCAGCGGAAGAAATCTGTCAGTTGGGGAAAAGAGTAAATTGAAAACCCAAACATTGCTTCATTAAGAATATTTTTCTTTTTTTATATTTGGTATCACCATGTCTTCAAAGGCCATGTTAAACTACACTCCACACACTATGGAAACTTCCACATTGCCAACTTGCTTATTTCATCATCTTTCCTAAGGGAAGAAAGAAATGTTTAATCCTACCACCACTTACTAAGAATATGTTTAATTATATGATTAGAATATTCCCAATAACTACCTAAGAATAAATTTCAAGAAGAAACAAATGTTTTAGTCCAATAGACCTGGGTGGTGCTACCCCAGTGAGAGTCTTCTATCACCAAAAGACAGCATGAGAATACTGGATGCTTGAAGGTGACATAAATACATCATCAGGAAGTCCAGTGAAGGCTGCATAAATAAAGATAAGGTGGCACCAAATATAAGATGCCTACGCTACAGTTTTGCATGGGTCCTAGTAGTACCAAAAGGCCAACTCAACAATAAAAATGTTCTCCCAACTACTTTGGTATGCTTGCAAAGTGCCTGGTCTATCAGATTCTAAATAGGACATCTTGGTACTGACTCATGCTCATTGTCACAGGGAGCTCTGCACCCATTATTTACTCCCAAAGCCAAGCCAGTCTCTGCATTCCTGACATTCTATGCCTTTTCAAAGTCATCTGATAACTTCATGGCAACAAATAGCCAGTCATCCTATTTTTTTTCCCTTCAAAATCCCACCCTCTTCACCCCCTTTCTTTCCTGCCATCGCAGCTATGAGTCTTTTCCTGCTGTATCAAAGCCTTGACACCTTAAAGGGACCATTCAATCTTGCGGCTAAGCTTTGGGGTGGGATCTTCTCCCGAGTTCTCTGAGGCCAGCCCTGCTTCTGGTGGTTTCCAGGAATACAGTCTATATTTCCCTGAAGTCACACAGGAGGAAATGATTTTCCTTACACACTCTTAATTCCTAGTGTATCCTTTTGCTACTCTTTTACTAGTTTAAAAGTAAAGTGTCTACATCCAGTTGATGTCTTTTTGCTGGATCTTTCTCATCTCTGAAATGTGCTTCTTCATGCACCCAGCCCACCAAGAACTCTCTCCTAAGAAATTCCCTGTACTGACCTTCTCCAAGAATTTTCAGAAGGAAGGGTTAATATTCCCCCAAATCCACTCCAGCTAAGTGTTTTACATATTCTCTTCAGCCAGTTCACAGCATAATTGTATATAATCCTTTTCATCTTATGAAATTTATTTCTTATGAATTTATTATCTATATTTACACTGTGACAGTTTATGATCTTGGGATTTTAGTTTTTTAATATCCCTTTCCTTGAGAGTTTTGTACACCTTGATGCCTTGAATAAATAGAAAGGCCTTTGCAGACAAGGGGTATGAAACATTTTTTTTTTTTTTAATGACAAGAAGAAAAACCTACCGGCCCATGTTTTTGCTGAGGAGCCATCCCATGAAGCATTTCAGGATGTGACAGAATCTGGAGGTCTGCCCCCCGAGTTTTGGGGCGTACCACATCAGAGACCAGACTGGAGGAGATTGCTAGAGACGTGGGCCGAGCAGCTGTGGTGCCCATCCCTCCTGGGGGGCCTTGTTCACCTTTTCTGCTTGGAGCTTCATCTTCCCCCTCAGAGTCCACAATAAAGACATATTCAGCTTTGAAGAGGTCACTTTGCTGCATTCCTTGAGCTTCGTTTGCTTTAAATCCCCTTCCTTGGGAAGCCTTGTCCTTGACCTCTAAAGGATAAGTCAATGTTCCTCGGTCTCTCTCCCGTTGGCTCCCAACATTCAACGTCAAGTACTCATTGGAATCAGACTGCAATAAATGTAGAGACATAAAAGCATTGATGTTGCTTTGGTAAATGCTTTTTTGCATGTACTCTTTCTTAAAACCTTAATCTGCTTATAACCCCCAAGAACAAAAGTTTTTACGAATATATCTAAAAATCAGGTTGGCATAGGAGAGACTGGGTTAAAGCTAATGGTTTACTTTTACTAACCCACTTGTTTGTCCTTGTCCAAGCCCAAACAATTTAGGGCTCAGGATCAAAGTCAGAAAAACTTGCTTTCAAATAAATCCTGATATGACTTTTTAAAAAGAGAGGAAAGAGAGCACTGTTTTCCATAAAGACATTCACAAAACAAATGGGGATTTGTCAGGGGTTTAGTTAATGGTCAAGCAAAACCTGTGGCTGCGTAGATACCATTGCCATCTGTAAATGAATATCCTTATCTTTGGAGGCTTCAGAGATCTGCAACCAAGATTGATTCATACATCTATAGTCCCACACTCATAGCACCTAATCACAAAGATCCCATGAATATATTATGTGTACTTGAATACTGTTAGGGAGAAATTTCCCAGAAGTGCTTTATGTAGCATTCAGAATTTCTCTGAAATAATTTGGCCCCAACAGTCTTTGAAATAAGATGACATTGTAAGTCCCAGGTTATGTATTACTTCTTGCTAGATAAGGTGTTTTCATATAGACAACGAGAATCAGATAATTTTATCTCCTACAAGTTGGCTCAAAAATACCACAAAATTCCCCGAGTCACATTTTATTTATAATAAGATAGTATTAAAATACATTTTAAAGAGAAATTTTTTTTTACCCAAAATGTCACTGTTTAACACAAGTCATTTTTAGGTTTTTGTCTGTTTGCTTTAATTTCTTTTTCAGTCTTGGTCTCCCTTTAGATAGGTATAATCAGGGTATAAATACAACTTTATAATCTATTGTTATCACTTAATATTGTAAGATTAACATGTTCCATGAAATTACATAACCATTATAATTATAACTTCATCAAGGTGATGTATTATCATATGCTTAGCTTTTCTCTAATTGTTAGATATTAGGCTCCTTTTATTTTTCTCTAATTATTTTCCTATATAACACATTTTTTCCTCTGTACTATTTCTCTGGGATGCATTTCCAAGAGTTTAAACATTAAAGGGTTATAAACAGTTGTATGACTGTGGATAAGGGTTTTCCACCAAAATTGTACAAATTCACAAAACTAGCAGCGAAGTGTGAGCCTGCCAACATATCCACAATTGCCCCAAATTCAGATATTACACTTTTTTAATGTTGCGACTCTGTTACACGTAAAATAACACCTTGCTCTTTTATCTAGTATTCTTTAAAGATAAATTTAAACTTTGTAAAAATTTTGTTTTTATTATTTTAAGATACATTTGGGAGGGGATATCAAATCAAAAGGGTTGAGAATAATGTATTGGAGAGAACCTGACATTTGATAACACCGAAGTTCCTATTACATAGTTATATTTTTAGTCAATCTTAGATTTCCCAGTTATCTCACTTTAAGCAGAGAAAATAAACATCCATACAAATTTGCAAGTCATTATGATGGATAATTTAATGTTAATTGCTTGATATAAAAAATAGTAAAAAATAATCCTACCCTATTTACAGTTTCTGGAGTCTTATCACTTGGTTCCTCAGGAATTTTAACAATGAATTTAGAGGTGTCACCCAACTGGGAGTGGGTTGGTAGTCTTCTGACAGTGGGGACAAATGTGAAGATCAGAGGTTTGGCTTCAGAATCACCAGAAGAGACCTATGAGACACGTAATAAATTAGACTTTCAGTCTTATCAAAGGTTTATTTTGACTTTACTCTCTACATATTATATTTATCTCATTTATTTTGATAAATTGCCTATTGTCCTATGATCATGTGTATGGTTGGCAAAGAGAACATCTATTAAAATATTCATAGATTATCCGATCCTTTTTTTGTGAAAATATTTATCGGAGAAAGAAATACAACCCAAGGAAGATCCTACTGTAGGACATGGCAACAGAAGAGCAGCTTGGCAAGTTGAGCTGCTGGAATGTTGCAAGTTAACATGGATAAAAGTTAATTTCAAAACAGACCATATGCTGTGTTTGTGATGACCCCACAGAGGTCAAGGACTTTTATCCATTTAACCCTGGGTTAGCAGGTTCAGTGTGACTCATAATCACCAAGCATGTGTGAAACTTCTGACATACATCATGAATGAGAATGCTAAAATGTGAATTGAAAATTGAAAGTTTACTATTCTTGCTGCCAGGATACCAATGCCTCTTCTCGAGGATATACCTTCTCTTTCATTCATTCTTTATTCATTCAAACACCATTTTGTTAAGCATTTGCTGTGTGACAGGCACTCAGGAGCTAGAGATATAACAGCAAATAATAAACAGCCAATAGACCAGTCACAAGTAGGAAAAGCATACGCACAGAATAGGAAGGGAAAAGCTATAAGGGATGCCTACCCAGTCTGGGAAGCTCCATAAAATGCAGCACCTGGAATTTAAGTCCTAATGAAGAGAAAGATAAGGGTCTTCCAGGCTGAGGAAACCAGCTGAGTGAAGGCATGGAAAGCAGCACTGGGTGAAAATCAAGCTTGAGTTCTGTCCTTTTGACACTGAGAACCAAGTGCTGTAGATTGGGAATGAGATCGTCTCATTAGAATGTCAGATAGGTAATGCTGGTTTTATAAGACCCAAGGCTAGCGATCAGGACAGAAAGCCAAGAGTAATAGACGGAGGACTAAATGGAAAGGCAGAAAGAGAAGATGGTGCTGGAGATTTCTCTTTTGAGACATTTGGGTGAGAAGTAGGAAAAGAGATGGAGAGTAGTTAGAAAGGAAAGTCCAGTCAAAGTGGTGCCCTTGTTGGTCTGTAACAGGATAGACATGAAGACGTCTGTAGACTCAGGGAAGGAACAAGTAAGAAGGAAAGTGGAGCAAAGTCCTGGAGGAAGCAGGCAGAAAAAGCTAAAGCAACAACAGAAAGAACATAGCCTCCTCTGAGAATGGAGAAAAATAATGGATATACAGAAAAGCTCTGACTGTGAGGCAGTGAGAGAAGCTGGAAGGTGAGGGGACTCATTTTGTACCCATGTTCATGATGCGATCAACCCCATCTAGTCAGAGTGAAACTGCCATGCTGCCACCTCCATGCCTCTGTCACAAGAAATGCAATAGCCCTGGCAGAAACCCCCAGGCTCCTCTCCCTTCAGGTCGTGCCACCCTTGTGTGTCGTATCTCAACATGCCCTTTAAACTCGATCACATCAGCTGCACGAGAAACCCAGCCATCCCTGTATCTCTGTGTGCAATGCACACCCCTAGCTTTGTTCCCTTCTTGTACCTGTAACCGAGAAGGACCCTATGAGGCCTTCCCAGAATAGATCCCCACCCATGTCCTTCACCTGCTTTTTGCCTGTAGAAAAACTTTAGTCTAAGAATAAATTTAATCAGGGAAGTGAGAAAAGGCACAAAGAAAGGAAAACACTCAAGCAAGACAAAATAATAATACTTTAGCCATTAAACAAAGTCAAGGACCTTCAGTTCCTCCTCAAGGACTATAGATAATATTCTGAGCCATGTTCTTTGAGCCGTTTTGCAGATACTGAAACCCCCATCTGGTGGAGGAAGTTAACTGTTTGCTGCCCACAAGCACATAGACCCCACACCGGTTGGAACCAGAAGGCTGATGATCCTGACTCCCAATTACCTCACCACCAACCAATCAGAAGAATGTCCATGAGCTGACCACACCCTGTTCCTTGAACACTATAAGACTCCTCACTACCCCCTCCAGGGCGGGACACACAGTTTTGCAGGCATTAGCCAACTGTGGCCCCCTTTGCCTGGCAAAGCGATAAAAGCTAGTCTTTTCTACTTCACCCAAAACTCTGTCTCCAAGTTTCTATTCAGTACTGGTGAACAGAAACTGAGTTTCAGCAACATACCATGATCCAACTCTTGGAAACTTTTCACCATACACTTTCTGGAATTCAGGCAGTTGTCACACATCCCTCCACATCCTTAACCTCTTCTCTACATGTTCTGACTCAAATGCCCCTCAAATGCCTTGCCTTCTCTCACATCACCATCCACTTCGGGTAAATCATAGTGGTCACTCGGTCTACCATCTACCTACTCTCCTCTTGCACCACAAGGGTAGATGTGGTCACAGAGAAAACTCACACAACCCCGCTTGCTGGTTTCACTTCAAATTTATGACCCTGAGCCTCAATCTGGCACTTTAATTCTTCTCTGTAATCATACTATACAGTTCCAGAGCCCATTTACTCTCCCACTCACTAGAAAACCCACACCTTCTCCTCTTTCTTCAAACCCCTACATCTTCTTCCTAATTCTCACTCTGAGCTGACAACTTTGTTTCCCACTTCACTGAGATAGTTGAAGCAATCCGAAGAGAACTTCCAAAACCCTCATCACCACATCTAGTCACCCACTTACATCTTTGTCCTTTTACATAGCCGTCAGTCCTGCTACTACACTCCTACTTAAACCAAACCTCACTTGAGTACGTTGCCTTCTACTTACTTTCATTTACTCAACAAGATCTTATTAAATGCCTACCAGATGCTAGGCTCTATTCTAGGGGTTGGCGACACACAGTGAACAAAAACCTCTACCCATTCTGGTGGGAGGGAGACAGGAAACCAAATAAATATGCAATAAAATAGGATTTTCAATTGTGATAAGTGCTGTGAAGGCTAGTATAATAACCCATAGGAGAGAAAATGATAGGTAAAACTTAGGTTGGCTGGAATCTAAAGGAAAAACTTAGAATCTGCTGAAAAATTAGATGTGCGATATAAGAGGCAGACAAGAGTCAACACAAGTACAAAATTTTTGACCTGAATAACTGAAAGAAATAAGATATTCTTCACTGAAACAGGGGAAACAAGAGGTGAAGCTGGTTTGAAAATAAAGATCAAATATGATATGACAAATATATATCCAAGTGGAAATGTGGGGATGGGAGGAAAGTCTGTCCTGGAGATAACATTGTTACAGTTGTTGACCTATACATGGTATTGAAAACCATGAGACCAGATGAGATCATCAGGGGAGTCAGCACAAATAAGAAAAGAAGAGGTCCGAGGTTGAACCATCCAGCTCTACCACTAAGTGGTCCAGTAGCTGAGGAAGAAGTAGCAAAGGTGACACAGGATTTTAAGAGAAATGGGAAAGCCTGGAACACCATTGATGTAGGATGATGCAGTGAGAAAGAGGCCTGACTATAAATAAGTAAAAGGATTGACAGACTATTGTGAGGGCCCAGCCTAAATGTAAATCCGTGAATTTGTAGTAAAAGCAATTTGCTTGGCTTTTTGGATAATGTCTCCAGGAATGCTCAACTGCCTATCATAGGAACAGAGAAAGTGAATTGCAGCATTTATAGAACATATGTTTGGAGGTGGCTCTGGCAGAAGAATGTTGTGAGTGTCAGGAAACTGAGGGTACTGATGGGAGAAGAGCAAAGGGTCAACCATGGAGCTCACTGTGGACAGGGAAGAAGAGGGACTTCAGACTAAGGGACTAGTGGTCTCTTCGGTTCAGGAATCAGATTTGAAAGCATGGTGGGTGTTGGGGAGAATGGCCCAGGGTCACAGTATGGGTTATGAGAGCTTGGGATTTAGTAGGATGGTAAGACTAGATGATTATAAGGTCTAGGCTTATAACAGAGTAGGGTTAGGGTTAGGGTTTCTAGAAACAATGTCTATTCCTTAGGGCATAAAAACTACACAGACAAACCCTTCTGAGCCAACTTTCATTTTTCAATATTATTTTCTGCCTTTAAAAATAATTGTCTAGGGCTTCCCCAGTGGCGCAGCGTTTGAGAGTCCGCCTGCCGATGCAGGGGACACGGGTTCGTGCCCCGGTCCGGGAGGATCCCACATGCCGCGGAGCGCCTGGGCCCGTGAGCCATGGCCGCTGAGCGTGCGCGTCCGGAGCCTGTGCTCCGCAGCGGGAGAGGCCACAGCAGTGAGAGGCCCGCGTAACGCAAAAAAATAAAAATAAAAAAAATAATTGTCTATTCCCCCATGGCAGTCAGGTCGCAATTCCCAGGCTTATCATCCAAAAGTAATAAATCAATGTTTTCCCTTGTAGGAAGGGACATTAGATCCCTCATGAGATTCAGGGAACCCACTAGTCTTATCAGTGATACTCAATACAACGCACTTTCTAGTTGGATTATTTTCTAGGAAGTCTTCTTTACATGACTAATCTCATCAATATCTTGATGCGTGGAGAGGGGTTTTAGCAAGGAAATCACTGAGGGTAGTTCAGATAATTTATCATAGAATTTCATTTGGGTAGGAAATAAAGATAGTCTTTTAGGAGTAAAAGAAGTGGTGAAAGTGTGACTTTGTCCTCAGGTGCTATAGGCCTGCCCCCATCTCCCCACATGATGACTACAGGTCTATCTTTTTTTTTTTTTTTTTTTTTTTTGCAGTACGCGGGCCTCTCACTCTTGTGGCCTCTCCCATTGCGAAGCAACAGGCTCTGGACGCGCAGGCTCAACGGCCATGGCTCACAGGCTCAGCCACTCCGCGGCATGTGGGATCTTCCTGGGCCGGGGCACGAACCCGCGTCCCCTGCATCGGCAGGCGGACTCTCAACCACTGCGCCACCAGGGAAGCCCAGGTCTATGTTATGTTCTATCCAGATGAAATTGAAATACTGACGTATGCACTTCAGTATAAGTGCCCTGTGGTTACAAAATACATATAACCATTATTAACAGTA